ATCTTAATTCCAACTGGTGATTCATCTAGTCCCACCTTTCTCAAGATGTGCTCTACATATTAGTTAAATAGGCAGGGAGACAGTATACAGCCTTCCCAAACTCCTTTCTCAATTTTGAACCAATCAGTGGTTCCATGTCCATTTCTCACTGTTGCTTATTGACCTGCATATAGGTTTCTCAAGAGACAAATAAGATGGTCAGGTACTCCCAGCTCTTTAAGAACTTGCCATAATTTGTTGTGATCCACACAATCAAAGGCTTTAGCATAGTCAATGAAGCAGAAGTAGATGTTTTTCTGGAACTCCCTAGCTTTCTCCATGATCCAGCAAATGTTGGCAATTTGATCTCTAGTTCCTCTGCCTCTTCGAAATCCTGCCTGTACTTCTGGTAGTTCACAGTCCACATACTGCTGGAGCCTAGCTTGTAGGATTTTGAGCATCACTTTGCTGGCATGTGAAACGAGTGCAATGGTGCGGTAGTTTGAACATTCTTTGGCATTGCCCTTCTTTGGGATCGGAATGTAAACTGACCTTTTCCAGTCCTGTGGCCACTTTTGAGTTTTCCAAACTTGCTGGTATATTGAGTGTAGCACTTTTATTGCATCGTCTTTTTAAGATTTTGAATAGCTCAGCTGGAATGCTGTCACCTCCACTAACTTTGTTGTTGCTCAGACTTCCTAAGGCCCATTTGACTTCACATTCCAGGATGTCTGGCTCGAGGTCAGTGATCAACCCATCGTGGTTATCAGGGATGTTGAGCTCTTTCTTGTATAGTTCTTCTGTGTAATCTTGCCACCTCTTCTTAATCTCTTCTGCCTCCATTAGATCCCTGCCATTTTGGTCCTTTATCATGCCCATCTTTGCATGAAACATTCCCTTCATATCTCCAATTTTCTTTAAGAGCTCTCTGGTCCTCCCCATTCTATTGTTTTCTTCTATTTCTTTACACGGTTCGTTTAAGAAGGCATTCTTATCTCTTCTAGCTATTCTTTGGAATTCTGCATTCAGTTGGGTGTATCTTTCCCTTTCTCCCTTGCCTTTTGCTTCCCTTCTTTCCTCAGCTATTTGTAAAGCTTCCTCAGACAGCCATTTTGCTTTCTTGCATTTCTTTTGCTTTGGGATGGTTTTAGTTGCTACCTCTTGTACAATGTTGTGAACCTCCGTCCATAGTTCTTCAGGCACTTTGTCTATCAGATCTAATTCCTTAAATCTATTTGTCGCCTCTACTGGATATTCATCAGGGTTATAATTTAGGTCATACCTGAGTGGCCTAGTTCTCTTCCCTACTTCCTTCAATTTAAGCCTAAATTTTGCAACGAGAAGCTCATGATCGGAGTCACAGTCAGCTCCTGGTCTAGTTTTTACTGACTTTATACAGCTTCTCCATCTTTGGCTGCAGAGCGCATAGTCAATCTGATTTCTGTGTTGACCGTCTGGTGATGTCCATGTGTAGAGTCATCTCTTGGGTTGTTGGAAATGAGTGTTTGCTATGACCAGCATGTTCTCTTGACAAAATTCTACCAGCCTGTGCCCTGGTTCATTTTGTACTCCAAGGCCAAACTTGCCTGTTATTCTGGTTATCTTTTGGCTTCCTACTTTAGCATTCCAATCCCCCATGATGATAAGGACATCATTTTTGGGTGTTAATTCTAGAAGGTGCTGTAGGCCTTCACAGAACCGATCAACTTCAGCCTATTCAGCATCAGTGGTTGGGGCACAGACTTGGACTACTGTGATGTTGAATCGTTTCCTTGGATTGGAACTGAGGTCATTCTGCCATTTTGGTGATTGTATCCCAGTACTGCTTTTCCTACTCTTTTATTGACTATGAAGGCTACTCCAAGGCTACTCAAGAGGGATTCTTGCCCACAGTAGTATACCTGATGGTCATCTGAATTAAATTCACCCATTCCTGTCCATTTTAGTTTGCTGATTCCCAAGATGTTGATGTTCAGTCTTGTCATCTCATGTTCGACCACATTCAGCTTGCCTTGATTCATAGATCTTACATTCCAGGTTCCTATGGAGTATAGATCTTTGCAGTATCAGACTTTCCTTTCACCACCAGATACATCTGCAACTGAGTATCCTTTCAGCTTTGACCCAGTCGCTTCATTCCTTCTGACGCTACTAGTACTAGCCCTCTGCTCTTTCCCAGTAGCATATTGGACACCTTCCGACCTGAAGGGCTCATCTTCCGGCATCATATCTTTTTGCCTTTTGGTACTGTCCATGGGGTTTTCATGGCAAAGATACTGGAGTGGGTTGCCATTTCCTTCTCCAGTGGATCACCTTTTGTCAGAGCTCTCTGCTATGACCTGTCCATCTTGGGTGGCCCTGCACGGCATAGCTCACAGCTTCATTGAGCTACACAAGCCCCTTCGCCACGACAAGGGTGATCCATGAAGGAGGAAGATCACATAGTGTGCATGATTTGCCATCAGGTGAGAGAATGATTCTTTAATGGCCTGTTCACATTTCCTGGAGCTGTATGTTAGGGCAACCACAAAGGAATGCATGGTTTGTGCCAAGAATGTGGAAATGTAGTTGGTGCCCTGCTCTCCCTGCTCCACCCCGAGCAGCTTGTTTATGACATCAACACTGGTATTTACTTTTGCTGTAATGTGCCATCAAATCAACTCTAATCCATGCCAGTCTCATGAACGAAAATCCTCTAAAACCTGCTGTTTTGGACAGCCCTTCTTAGCTCTTCTAAGTTCAAGGATGTAGCTTCTTTCATGCATTCAGTATATCTCATATATGGTCTTTTTCTTTTTAATGTCTTCACTTTGCCCATTATGATTTTCTTCTTCAGTGAATCATACACATCTCACAATGTGTCCAAAATATGACAGCCTCAGCTGTGTCACTTTTGCTTTCAACAAAAGCTCTGGCTTGATTGATCTAGGAACCACTTTTTTCAGGTGCTTTATCACAGGACCTCTCTTCTCTTCATTTCTCCTATATACTTCTTCTGCCTATTCTTTTTTTAAACCCTCTTTCCACTTTCTCTTATATGCTCCCTTGTTAGTTTAACATTTTTTCCAACATGCATTACTCTACACTTGCTTATATTAACCTGCCTTTGCCATTTTCATGTCCATAGTCCCAGCTTGGAGGGATCCCTTTGGGATTCCTCACAGTCCCTCTTGGTTTTAACCACCCTAAAAGGTTTAGTGTCATCAGCAAACTAGGCTACGTTACTACTTACTCCTAATTCCAGATCATATATGGATAGGTTGAAAAGCATCGGTCCTAATACAGAACTGCCTGGGACTCTACTAATGGCATCGCTTCATTGGAAGAAAATGAGTTTATTTCTACCCTCTGTCTTTTGTTCTTTAAACAGTTAGTGATTCATAAGAGCCTCCCACCCCACCCCTGGGCTTATTCCATGATTGCTTAGTTTAGTGGCATTTGAAGAACTTTTTGGTGAATAGCCTGCTGGAGGTCCAAGTGAACACTGATCCTAATGTATGCAAAGGTATACCTACATATTATAATCTAACAAACTTCTCATATAGCTTCCTTGCCCTCTTATCTCAGGAGGTGATATCTGATATAGTGAATCTTCTAAAACTTTCTTCCCTTCTAAAAGCTTTCTTTGCTATGCCTTCTGCTTAACCCTTGTAGTTCCCTCACTCACTTGCTTTTCATCTACACAGGGAAGGCTTTAGACCCAGAAATCTTCAGACTTCAGACATCCATGGTAATGTGTGCAGGGTAGGGGAAGCTCTGTATCATCGTGGTTAAGGACAGAGATGCTGCTTAAAAAACACCAAACATGCCTTTTCATGTAAATAACACATTGAATGGAATAAGGAATTAAAAATGGCAAGGTAAAGAAATATTTAAATTGTGCATAACTACAAAAGAAAATGTAGTATTCTGATAAGGTTTCTGCTTGTATTACAGTTGTACTAAGAGTAGCATACTTTCTACAGTTGTACAACTGCATCTAATGTTGTATGATAACTGCTAAATATCAACATGTATATATGATGGGAAGAGAGAATTACAACAAATAGAAACCCTTTTACATAAATAAATCCATGCATGGTGTGACTTCCCCAGGAAAAAGAAAAAAGGCAATACATCTACTAAACAACTAAAGGGGAACAGGTCTTCCTTAATTTTTGTCTACCCCTTATTTTAAAATTGTTTAAAACATGTTTACAATTTGTCTTTAAAAGGCCCACAAACCTGATGGACTCCCCCTCCAACCCTTGTGCAAGCTCATTATCGCTGTTAGTCTTGCAATGGAAATATGATTTATTACATGAAATGCTATCAATTTAATTGATACCCACCATCATTTAATAGTGGTTTTCAGACAGAGACTCCAAATTACCATCCTGCTCCTATCTGATATCTAGCTTGGTGCTCACAAGATTGCTTACTAGTAACTTTGGTCGTCTGAATGAGCATGTTATCTTCCTTGCAGAGACCAAGGGTATGCAGGAATCTGTTCGTAATTTGGTGGAGAACGTGAGATTGAGAGTCCTTATCTCATCTGGGAACCCGGATCCCAGCCCAAAAGCATAAGGAACGGGGAGTGCAGGCGCGAATATCACTTTTTGGGAATTAACTGCTGAAAGCAGCAGGATGATCAACAAATTTTGAAGAAAAACACCAGCTGCACCTCAAACAAGAACACCTTGATTCTGGTATAAACTTTCGTGGTCAGTGGTTATACCCAGTGTTAGTCGTCTTTAGAACAGAATGACATGGAACTGAAATGAATGGGCTGAAGTTAGACTAACATGGGATTGAGGCTTCTGCTTTTCCTCAGATGCAATCCTTTTTGAGTTAAATTTGTTTGAAAAAACCCAGTCAGTGTTGATTCCACCCCATACAATGAAGCGCTGATGACCGATACGCTCGGAATGGGTACTCACGGGCATTAAACGACCAAGGCCAAGAACGGATTTCCCCATTTCTATAAAGCTGCTCGTTTTCCAAGGGAAGAGGAAGGGCCAGGGCAATACCACGTGAACAGAAGACGGAAGAAGGCACCCCAATCTCCGCCTTCTCTGCTTCAGGGTCGTTAAAGCAGACTGGGAAGCAAAGGTCCTACTTACAAGAAGGGGACATGGCAGGGATTAAAGGTATGATCCGGTTTTCTCTTCTGCCCTCGGCGACCCCTTCGCATGAGCCCTTTCTGATCGTTTCCCTCTTCCCAGCCCCTTCCTTCGCGGTGCCTCCGACATACTTCCTCCCCCTGCCCCGCGAGGTGCAGCGTCCCGTCCTTCCTTTCTCTGCTCCGCTTGATCTTTTGCGGAATGCTCCTTAGGGCGCAATCCTGTGCATGTTTAGACAGAAGAGAAGTCCTACAAAACCCAGCGTTCGCTAGGCAGAGGATCGAATCCTTAAACAGCGTTTAGGCTCCGTGGCTCGCTGTTGAGAAGCAGAGTAAACTTCTGCACTGTACTTTGTTTTGTTGCGCGTTTCTACTAAACCTTTGCTGGGGTGCTATTTTGAAGTGCCCCATGGCAACTCGTGTCCAACGCAGGGAATCTAGTGGCTAGGAGGGCAGGACCAAATCCTGTAGCAATTATGCAGAACCGGCGGTTCTGGGAGGTGCAGCCGGTCATATTTGGCGGGGGTGGGAGGACAAAATAGTATTTGCTGAAATTTCCCCAGCTAGAAACAGATTAAAAATGCAGAAACTTTGACATTCTTTGGACCTGGTCGTCCTAATTTCACAGCTCCCTTTTATAAGCCATCTGCTTTGATTGTTCAAAAAGAAACGTCCGAAGTTCCCATAAAGGTTTCGATATGCAAGTATGTTTTTTTTTTAATCTACTAAGAAGGTGTGGACCATCTTTATGCTGAATGTAGCATCAGTAAGGATACAATCCCATATATGCTTAGACAAAAAGAGGGCTTAACAGATCTTCAGCGTTCTGCAGACAGCATGGAAGCTGCAGGACTTTTTTTTCCCCTTGCCTATAGAATTGCCCTCCAACACACCTTTCTAATCAATACTGTATCCTTACAGCACAATCCTATGCATGTTCACTTCAAAGTTTTACTGTATTCAGTGGATCTTAGTGTGTGTGTAGGATTGTATCCCAAATATAATTAAAGGGATCAACAAGACTATTTTTTTAAAGTTCTGCAAAGGGAGGTCTTAATCTCAAAGTGTGAATGTTGAACGTGATAATGAAGTCTGTCTTGTTAGAATTCCTACTGCTTTGGGAGACTACAGGTAATTGAAACAGTGGATCACTTTGTATTGTAAATTCTGAAGATAATATTCTACAGAGAATGAATGACATGCTAGTAATTGGTTAGTGATTTTATGTATGAACTTGGTTTATTAACAGTTAAACAGCTTAGTGATCTCATTTCTTCTATTTTTTCTTATGCAGCCTTGGTTGGTTTATCATTCACTGGAGTCATTGGTCTAACATTTCTTATGTTGGGGTGTGCCCTAGAACAGTATGGGTAAGAATATATTAATTTGGGATATATATAAAAGTATTTGTTTTGTTTGAAGCATAGCTTATTGGCATTGAAACATCTAAACAAGTGGCTTAAAACTACAATTTTTAAAATACAAAATACAATATTTTTAAATTTGTATTGGGACAGTACTAGTTATCAAAAAGATCCAGGATTTAGGCCTATAGGACAATAAATTGTACAAAATTGTATGTATTAATTTACATACACAAATATATGTTCAAGAATAGAAATGGTGGAGGTCAGAAATAATCATAATTTAAATATTTATTTTAATGTTGTTTATTTATTACATTTATATCCCACTGTTTTTCCTTTCAATGTTCAAGGCTGCTTATTCTCATCCAGCCCTCCATCTTATCCTCACAACAATAACCCTGTGAGGGAGTCCATGACTGGCCCAAAATCACCCAGTTAACTCTGTGGCTGAGTGGGGACTAGATCTCCCAAGTCCGTCTTTCACTTTTAACCACTATACCACACTGGTTTTTCATGGTATTGAAGGAAAACTAATTGATTTCTTGCTTTCTTTCAGGACAGAGCTATGCAATGGTCTGTGTTTGTTTAAAACTTAGCCCTGATGCACTTATCATTTTGATTTAATTAATTCTTTACATATTTTGCCATCCACAGATCTCTCTGTAGTTGAGATAGTTTCCCTGTTCCATGTAATTTATTGTACTATTTTAGGTACCTTTCCCCACTCCATATGTCTATATAGCTATGTCCAGCAATGGATGTCAAGACATTGCCTTAGAGCAGCAAATGGCACTTAACCCCCCTACCCCAGTTCTGATGCTTGAAATCAGCTGTCTGAGGCACATGCCTCAAGCTCTAAAGGAAGTATAGACAAGGGAGAGAAGAACATTTGATTTCAGGAAATAATCACCCTTACACAGAAAGATTCAAGGGAGGCAGCAGGAGGGAAAGTACACATGGGTAAAAAACTAGCTAGTCTAGGAATCAGATGCACAAAGGTTATCAGGGCCCCTCTACAATTACTTTAGCATGTGCCATTTCTCCTTTAACAGGAAAAGCAACATTTTCAAAATAACTTTCTGTATAGCAAGTCCTGTCCATGTAAGCTTACAATGCCACAATGATTTTTTCAGTATTTAAGGAACTGCAAGACTTCGTAGCTTTTAAACCCAAGAGAGAAAGAAAATCTTATCCTCCTCCAATGTCCATTCATCTTTCCCTAGCTGAGTGCAAACCCTGATGCTGAGGAGGAGAATATATCAGAACTTGGTCGCATGGATCATGAAAAAAGAGTATGCTTTAAGAAACACGATTGCGGAGTGCCAAGGAATTATTCTTTACCCCAAGCTAGTCAGGAAGGCTTCTGACACACAATCTTTCTCTTGCCCACAGCACAAGTATAGTTACGCACTAGCAAGTGGCTGAGCAAGCCTCTGGAGTCAGGTACATTCTGAGAAAGTTGGGTGACTGTGGTGCTATTAGGCAAATTTGGACTCACAGCTTAATAAAAAATAATGAGCAGACTGCAAGAGTAGGTGGCAGTTGTAAAAGACTGCTGTCTTTAAGCTACATTCCTTATTGGTCCACTATTAGTCCACTAAGAAGTCATAGTAATTGGAAGGTCACTGAATTGAGAGGGAGGGAGCCAGGTTTATATTAAGACTGAGGATGGTAGTCAGGGCAACTCTAAAAATTTGTGATGCTGCTTAAAAGATCTGTGGCCCATGCCTAGGTGGGGCTTCTCCAACATCATGCATGGTTGTTATGTTATACGTCAGATGGCTGAGAGATAGCTGGATTAAGGGGCATTAGAGATTGTAATGGAATTAGCCAATGGGAGCACAATGCAATAGTTGAAGAGGAAAGAGTAGCTAACATGGTTTGACATAAGAAGTGGGTGTTGAGGAATTAGAGAGAAAGCAGGACAGTGGAATTGCAGAAAGCTCATATAGCAGAATGGGGATAATAGTTGAAATTGCAGAAAGCAATGATTGAAAAAGGAGACTAAAAAGCAGAATGAGTGAGGAAATACAGTTGAGGTAGAGAACTAGGTATATGGCTTTACTCTATTCACATTTCAGTATATGGCAGTCTCTGTGTTTGTACCATTAAAGAAATGAAATAAATCAAGTTGCTCATAGTCCATTTAAAACTGCTTTAACAATTTGCATTGTTTGTCATTCTGCAGTATCTATTGGCCCTTATTTGTCTTGATATTTTACTTCATAACTCCTGTCCCTCACTTCATTGCAAAAAGAGTAAGTGATGATACTGATGCTGCAAGCAGTGCCTGCATGGAATTGGCGTATTTCTTCACAACTGGAATAGTTGTTTCTGCCTTTGGATTTCCTATCATTCTTGCACGTGTCGAAGTGGTAAGATCTCATTGTAAGATGAAGAACATTGATTAATGTGTCCTTTGACATTCCAAAAGTCTTTTTTTCCTGGCATACTGTATCTACATTGACATGCAGCTAGATAAATGCTTGAATAGTTTTTGGAACAACTTGTACACAAATAAGCATGTCATTGAGAAATAACTTTCTTGATGATGTGGTAGTATATGAAGCATACTTTAGGAGTAGCTTCTTTAAGCATGCACTTACTGTATCCACATAGAACGTGAACTATGGACTTTCATGTTTTAGATGTTTGCTATATATGAATATGATTGTATTTTTATGGCTGCCATTGGGAGCCTTTAACTCTGAAATCTCTACACTGGTTCTTTCTAACTGCAATCCAGAGGAATTTAAGTACATAGTTGAATTTAATAGTGTTTAACTATAATTAACATGTTCTAAATTGCATTATTTATCTTTGATGAAGAAAACTCCTTTACATGCACATATGTGCTTGCTTGTATGTAGTATTTTTCACTATCTATTCTGCAAGTTTTAAAATCCACTGCAGGGCATGAGATGGGGCAGACAGAAATAGTATACGTTTAGATGATTGAATTGCATAACTCTTCTTTTTAAAACAGAATTCTTATATTCTTTAGGGCACAATCCTATGGCTGTTAGGTGTTTGGATAGTTGTAGGAAAGATTTGGGTTCCAGGTTCAACTGGCAAAATGCATTTGGAGGTCAGAGATGGAACCTGTTTCCCTCTACTCTTGCAGGCTGGAGTGGTTCTTTTGCATTCTCTGTGGCTCCAAGGACAAAATACCATCCTCAGAGCCAGCACTGAGTGGACATTCCAGGGGATAGGAGTCTATCCCAGTGAGACCTCAGCCTTTCCTCCTTGCAAGTAGAAGCAAAGAGGCCAAAATCAGCGGTCTAAGTGTTTTGCTCTGCAGGAGAAGTGCAGAGGATCTTTGCTTCTATGGTCCTTCTGTCCAGAACAAGATGCCTCAGTGGACTGGCTGTAAATGGGTGCTTCCAAAGCAGCTTTTATTGAGCAATTTCCCTGCTTCAGTCATACCACTAGAGAGAGCTGCAGCGCCTTCCTTTTCTTACCAAAAGACGTTTTGCTAAATGCTAGAGAGCAAGAAATAATTAAGTCATGGAAACAAGCATCTTTATGCATGGGGGTGTTATAGGGAGAAATAAAAGCTATATAATACTTAAAACACAAATAGATCTATTAAATTGTAAAAACATGACCTTAATAAAGTATAGCCCAACACAAATTCTGGTTAGAATTTCTAATTCTAATGTTCTAACTTATATGGTGTGTGTGTGTGTGTGTATGAAATTTAAAAGTAGCATGATATTCACCACACTTACTTGGATTGGTGCCATTGATTTCAGTGGGACATGCAAGGCAATCCTAAGATATTTGCTCTGATGTAAGTAATGTTCTGTAGTAAGTTTCAGCTTTATTCCCAAGTAAATCTGCATTAAATTTGATGCCTCAGCTGATACTCAAACAATTTTAGATGAAATTAAGACAAATGTCTTAATCTTAGCTTTACTAGTTGGGAAAATGTTAATAAAATAAGAATGGAAAGATTGATGTAAACAACAAGAAGAGTTAATATCACATCTTAAGTTTTTTTTTTTTAAAGAGTGTAAACCTGTTGACAGCATTTGTTTTAATCCAATATTTTATTTATTAAATTTTATTCTGCTTTATTGGCCCAAGTGCCCTCTAAGTGGATTACAGTAATTATGATTGCAATATTGTACACACGGTTTATTACTTTATAATTTATTAAAATATTAATAGGACTAGTACCAACCATATACTATTATGAAGAAACAGCAATACATCTGAACCTTGAATAAAACATTAATTTCTCATCATAATCCAGTATAAGACTACAGCTGTATTCATATTTTCAGGGCAGTAAAATTTAACAATTCCTGGAAATACCATATTGAAGTATGGAAGAGAGGAGGAGAGAGAGGGGAAGGGGGAGCATGTGTACATAGATGGTTTCTAGTCTGATAAACTTCATTTGGATTTGGATAATGATGTCTGGACTAAGCTACCAGGCTGGTATTTATTTATTATATTTATATCTCACCTTTTTTCCTTCAAGGAGTCTGGCTCAGGTAGCTCCATGGCTGAGTAAGATGTAGGGAGGAGTCCTATTCATACACTCTAAAGTATTGCACTGGCTCTGTTTTGAATGATAACCACAGCTCCCCATAGCTTGTTTGAGCTCATTGGAATGCAATGCATGCCAAGGCTACTTTGAATAATTAGTCCCCAGCTAGGAACTTCCATAGTTTGTTGTGCTATCTGTACCGGGGTGGCAGGGGTTATTTGAAAAAATAAACAGCCTTCAAATGATGTTACAACAGAACCTAGCTATCCTCATGCAAAATCAGTCAATGAATCAAATTTATTTTTCTAGTAGCAACTTGTATCTGAAAGCTTCTGATTCTGAACTTTTACTTGGAGCTTCACAAAGTGGAGGACTTTTCAGGAACCAAATAATGTTTCTCAACCTTTATGTGGGCCTTTTTCTTAATAGTGTGTATATTTTCAAAATTTTGCAACTGATTTCTGTTTACTGTACAAGATGAAACAAAAGAATATGGCTATCTCACTTAGGGGCCCTCTTTAAAATTTTGAAGCATGAGTCTATGGATTTTCTGCCATAGACTTTATTGAAGTTCTCAGAAAGAATTCAGGCCAGGGAATCTTTCATTAAACTGTATTAAATCCTTTAACAGCTGCCACCAAAATAAGCCCTCTGTACCTTACAGAATCTTTGTTCCTGTGGCATAGACATGGGATGGATACCATGGATAAGTTTATAAGAGGTTCAAAGTTAAGACATCTTAAAGGAATTATTTTCATGAAGAATTAATAATTTCCTTAAGTTTTTCAAATGATAGGTCTTCCTAAGTTAAGTAACAGTGTTTCTCTCAGATTAGATTTCCCTGTTTTTCAAGCCAGCTAGTCATTCCCAACCAGGAACAGATACCATACAACAGACTTTCTCTTCCTGATGTTGCTTCTGGCTTCAAGTCTTGCTTGAAACTCTCTGGTCTTTGGGTCCTCTAATCTAAATCAATTACACTCAGACCCCTCATCAACTGGCTATCTTTTAGTGACCAATCAGTACCTCTTTATAAAGTTTCCAGCCATCAATCAAATGCGTTGCTCCCTTCATCAGTCCAATTTTGTTGTATTATCCAAATGGTACATGAACATGTATTAACAGACTGGAAACATCTTCTAATCTGCTTTAAAGAGTCAGCTTTAAGTCTCATATAACAACAGTAACTAAGGCAGCCTCCCAAGCTTGTGCCTGATACATACTTCTGGCCCACCTGGTTACATTGTGAGTTCACTTAAATGGTACTCAGCAAATGTAAACAGAACAAAACACAAATAAACTTAAAATTTCACATGAGGAATCTGAGGAAATTGAAAAGCAAAAAAAAAAAAAAAAAGGCAAGGTGGGGAGATATGAGTTAATGTTGGTCTTCAAAATCTGAAAGTAATTTTCCAGTACCAGATCCTAACAATGTTGCATGTTAAGATTTTGATTCTGTGCCCACTTACTTAAGAGTAAGCCCTAAAGTTATTCATTGTACTGTTAATAATCCAGTCAAGCACAGTAACAGTGGCACATAAGTAACCAGACTGATTACTTTTTAATCTTGATTCTAACAGTGATTCTGTGGCCCCTAGACAGGTAAGAAAGATCTTAGAGAAGAGATTTAGGTGGTGCTCTGGTATGGTGGGTGGGAAGGGGTGCGATGCTGCCGATATAAGATGGGTCCTAACAGCACTCCCATTCTGAAGTGCTGCAGTTGAAAGGATGTAATAAGCCATCTAGCTGCTTTGCAGGTTGGGAGGAACATGGAGGCCATGTTTGCCTCCATGCTGCTTTCAGTCTGCATAGTATGCCCTTAATTCGCCTGAGTTCAGAGATTTACAGGCAGCCTCACTGATTTGTGTCCTAACAATTTAAAGGAGTGAGGGGTTTTTTTCTTACCATCTGATTTTAAAATACTATTTTAAAAAGCATTTTGTATTTCAATGTATTTTATTGTGTTGTAAGCCGCCCCGAGGCTTCGGCAAGGGGCGGCATAGAAATGTTATAATAATAATAATAATAATTCTAAAAATGAAATATTTCATGCTAGTTTTTTTTCAATTTCTTTAATTTTCAATCTAGATTGTGGTATGGGGGGAATATATTTTGGTGGCAGGGAGGAGGGAGATAGCTGGCTGCCTATAAATTACTCTCATTATTCCTAATTTGGTGATGAGTGAAAAAAAATTGTTACTTTTTCATTAATTGCCCTCTTAACCCTTTTTGTTATATTACCAAGGTTAAGTAGTTATTTTGAATGTCACCCATTGTAGCAAAATATGTTTAATGACAACTAATTCTGTAATGGCTAAAAATTATTGTATAGCCTGGAACTCAGAATATAGTATTTGATCTTAAGTGCTTCTAGCATGCTGATGTTGTATTTCTTTGTACCTCATGAATGCTAAAATAATATACTTTTCTATCAATGAATAGAGTTTTTAAATTTTATATTTCAGATCAAGTGGGGAGCATGTGCCCTTGTGCTGGCTGGCAATGCAGTCATTTTTCTAACAATTTTAGGATTTTTTGTTCTGTTTGGCAGAGGAGATGATTTTACCTGGGAGCAGTGGTAAACTTCAGTATGAACTTGGTCTGCACTATGTAACTCACATGTACCTTTACCATGGAATCATTTGTTCTTATGTGTATATACTATGTGTATATATGTGCATATATTGACTTATATTAAGAGCATGCTTATATAGCCTTATATTATTGGATAGTAGTGTAGCTTTTTATACTTGAGTCACTGTCAGCCTAACATGGAACATTTATTGAACACTACTACATCTATGTAATGGAATGTATGCAGTTTGTTGTAGCATGCAAAGACCTTTTACATGGCAACCTAAATATTGCAAGTTGTAATAAACTTGGAAGCTGGGGCTGAATTTTAGTGAAATGGGATTTCTTTACCAGCATTTAAATGTGTAACTTTGTTATAATTTTGTACTGCAATATAGCAATATGTGTTAAGGGCATCTGAAATGCTAGCGAGTTCTTTGAAGCCTTACCAAAATGATCTTTTTTTAGAAAGCTGTTTGTCATGGCACTTGTATACAACCCTTTAAATGATGCTGTTTGGAGACTATTAGAATATTATAATCTTATAACACTCAGGGTTTTTAGGTATTCAAAATACGCATAGTCTTACAAAAAAAGTTAAAAATGGCATGCCTGGATTTTGGAAAGAATGATCTTCTGGATGCTGTGAATGAAAAATTGGAAAAATCCTGTATGTACCTTTCACACAATGCATTGAAACCAAAATATGCTTCTTGTAGAAGCAGAAGAGCTCTTTCCATCCCCAAGGAGGCTTTTGAACCAGCAGAGAAATCTCACTGGTGATAAGAGACAGTCTTTCTTGATCCCCCATTTTCCTCTATGTCACAGATTGTGTGCTTCAGAGGTATGGAGTCCTTCTGAAAGAAGCAGGGGAGGTGGCAGTGGGGGCTTCAAAGAGAATCAGCAAAGATTATGTTCTTCCAAACCTTCCACCAGAAGAATTCATTAAATTTTACTTTGAGAATTCCTTTTTAATCCTTACAAATGGATTCAGTTAGGATAAAAACAGGTTGAAAAAAGTTAAAGTTGCAATTCTGTGCACACTTACCTTGGAAGAAACACAGTGGAACATATTTCTAAGTAAACATATACTCTAAAGCTGCCTTGTAAATATTTCACTGGTTAGGAAAAACAGAACCTTAGCTTTGATCTCTATTCTACTGAAAGCCAATGTTTTCCTTTAACACCTCCCTCCTCACACATAATACAATGCTGATATCCAATACTCAATTTAATGGTAGAGTTAACTGATGTTAACTTTCTGGCAGGTACGTATCAACCCGCAGATATTTTTCTTCAAAATGGGAACACAATGAAAGTGTGTATGAAGCCTAATGGTGAATTGTATGAAATAGACTCACCATTAGGGTTATAACAATTGCCAAGAGCCTGATACAGACCAGCTCTAAGACAGCCATTCTACCACTTCAGTATTTTTCATTATATGATAGAAAACTGACTTCAGAGTGCCTTTCCCTAGAGAAAGCATGTATATAAAACAACGCTACATGTATTTTTTCAGTCTAAGTTTGGAAAAAGAAATGTTTTGTTGCTATCTAGCTTTTTCTAGGTCTCATGTGAATTTCTATGAAACTTCATAACTTTTGTGAACTATATAATTTGAAACACAGTATTGAAAATTTGCAAATGAGTACCTGTTTTGTATTTTCAAGCTCTAATAAAGTTATACTGTAAAAGTTTTCTTGTTTTGTAGTCTGTGTCTTTGTCCCTATATAAGTAAAAAGAAACTAGAGATTACACTGATATTATATAAAGTTTGCACAATATAATTGCCAGTAAAGAACTTCTTCAAAGCATAGTAGAAGAAAAGTTCAAAAACTATGTTGCTCTACAATTACTGTTTTAGTACACATCCCAAGCTCAGTGTAAAGTGCTTGTACTTCCTTTACATAATTTTGGCAGTTAAACAGAAACTTGGGTAAGTATTCAGTTGTACTTGAGTTTTAAGACAATACAATATGTGTTTTGGTGAGATGACTTTTTTGTTCTAAGATCAAGTGAACTAGTGAGTTATTCTTCATTTTCAGCAAGTTAAAGCACACATTTACCAAATCAGGTGATACTTTTTACAAAATTACAACTTTTCCTTTATCACTTAATAATAGGGTAGTGCAGAAGAACTTAAGACTTACTGAATCAATTGCTGCATTTAGCATTTTAAATGACAGTAATTTAAACATGTTTTCTTTGACATTGGTTTGCTTGGTTATGTGTACCTGTTTAGTTTGGATCCAACACAAAAAATCTTTAGATCTAGTGGAGCCCCCCCATTAATGGAAGAAATTACTGTGGATTTTGTTGATTTGCCTTAGCCTGGCGTGATCTTTCATGCTGTTTGGGAGCAAGCCCAAACTCCTTGGAGTAGATTTCTAGAGGAGCAGGCTAGAGAGAGGAATTGGCAAAAATGCCTTCCTACATTCATTACTGGGTGCTGAGAAACCCTTTCTTTGAATGGAATTTTTATTATTGTGAATTTCAACAAAACCTATAAAAGGAAATGTACATAATGTAAATATGTACACTTGAAATTTCAGATTCCATTACTTAATTAAATGTGTCTTTATGAAAATACAACTTTTTCCAGCTTTCTGGGGAAAAAACAGAGGCAGACCAAATATCTGTATATGTGACCATTCATAAATGGCATCTTTATGCTACCCATTTAAATGCTGAGAACATCATGTTGTTACTGCATTGCATTATAGCATTTGCCCTTCAAGTGTTGTAATGTCACTTTACATTAAATCCATTTACATTGAACATGCATTAGCTTTCAGGAAGCAGCCAAGCAATTTAAAAGGATCAGACCATAAGTAAATATTGAAGAGTGTTCCAGTATAAGCTTTATCCATAGTCTGACTTCCTCCAAAAAACATTGCTGGACATTGCCAAGAAGCATCAGAAGTTCAACAATTACACATAAGATGGCTTAGTCATAGCCTTATTGAAGAGGTTCTGTCATGTCCAATACGTAGATATGAAACAAGCTTTGCTGAAAAAGATGTCACCTAAGATCCATAGAAAACAGCGCGAGTCAAAAGAGGCCTCCTGGGCCATCTAGTCTGACCTCCGGCCGCTCACGACATGCCCACCATGTGGACATTCAGCCTATCCTTGAACACCCACACCGATGGGGCCTCAACCACCTCCCGGGGAAGCCCATTCCACACCCTCGGGGTCCTGACTGTCAGGAAGTGCTTCCTGGCATCCAAATGGAAGCTTGGCTCCCTGAGCTTTGCTCCATTAGAGCGCGTTCTGCCTTCCTCTGCAGGGGAGAACAGGTCTCTACCCATCTCCATGTGACATCCCCTCACATACCTGTATGTCGCCAACATATCCCCTGTTGAGTCTCCTCCAGGCTGAAGAGACCCAGTTCTCTCAGTCTCGCCTCATACGGCATCGCCTGCAAACCGGCCACCAACCTTGTGGCCCTACGCTGCACTGACTCTAACCTGGCTATATCCTTTCTGTAATGAGGGGCCCAAACCTGAACACAATACTCCAGTTGCGGGCGCACTAGAGTCATGTAGAGTGGTAGTAATACCTCTCTAGAAGCCACACTTCTGGCTATGTAACTGAAGGTGGCGTTCGCCCTCTTGACCACCGCATCACACTGCTGACTCATGTTTAGCCTGCAGTCAACCAGTACCCCAAGGTCCCTTTCACAAGTGCTACACTCCAGCCACTTATCACCTAACCTGTACTTATGACAGCTATTCCTATGCCCCAAGTGCAAGACCTTGCACTTATCCACATTGAACGCCATCCTGTTGTCTCCTGCCCACTTCCACAGTCTGTCCAGATCCTTTTGGATCTGGACTACCTGCTCCTCAGTTGTGGCCACTGCTCCAGTTTTAATGTCGTCTGCCAATTTGATCAGCAGACTGTTCACCCCTTCTTCCATGTCGTTAATGAAAAGATTAAACAGGATCGGCCCCAGGACAGAGCTCTGGGGGACCCCGCTTGTCACTGGCCGCCATCCCAATGATTCCCCGTTAATGGTTACCTTCTGCTTTCGGTCAGTCAACCATGCCCTAATCCACCGGACAGTGCTTTGGTGTATCCCAAAACCCCTCAGTTTCTCCACCAGGATATCATGGGACACTTTGTCAAAGGCCTTGCTGAAATCCAGGTATACCACATCCACTGCATCCCCTCCATCTAGCCATTGCAAAACCTTGTCATAGAATTTCACAAGGTTTGTCTGGCAGGACCTGTTTTTGCGGAAGCCGTGTTGTGTGGCTGTCAGCCTCCCTTCCCTATCTAGCATCACTAGATCTCTCTCTATTATGAGCCTTTCCACTGTTTTTCCTACAATGGACGTAAGGCTAACCGGTCTA